ATATATACCATCACTCTTAGAACATTCCCATTCCCATTCGACTAGCTATGAGGGAAACCGTGCATAAATAAAAAAGAAATTTATCAAATTACCCATAAAAAATGAACAACGGAACACCTTGATGGGCCATTTTGATAAATTCCCTAAATAAAAGACTAATATTATAGAGAAAACACCTTTTTCCATATGAGGAAGTATACAATAAGACCATTTACTTTTGACATAAAAAAATTCGACAACTTATCCATTAAATTTAGAATTAGACGGTTAAGGTTATCCTACAAACCACACTCAAAAATTCATAATTTTTTTTTCTCAAACTTTATAATAAGCGATCTCCGATGATCGTGATACGGCTGAGTCATTTTGTGCTTCGGTCATTGCACTAGCAATACACCAAAGTAGCAAGATTCCTTCAAGTAAACTAAATAAAATGTATACTAAAGATCATTTGTTCTACAAGAAGTCATGATCACTAGTAAAATAAACTTTGCAACATACGCTAAACCATCTGAGTAAAAAGATTCATTGTGACCTCCCTGATACGAAAGATAAATGGTTTTCTATTGTACAATCCCCAAATCATAGCCCCTTTCCATCTTTTCGCCACCAACCCAGATTAACTATTTCTTTCCACACAGAAGATTTCATTAACTAGCATATTCATTGTAAGTTATTACAGAAGACCTAAAATCCTATGTACGGTCCTTCCCGTTTCCTTGAAAGCATGGTAACATGAGTGATGAAGGGTGACCCAGCTTCAATATCAGACCAGACATGGTCTTAAACAAGACCAAGGTTGATTGGTTCAAACAGAATGCTACCCATAACATTTTGACTTAGAGAGAGAGCGAGACAGAAGCGAAAAAGCCCAGAGAGATGCTTCCCTCTTATAGTATAATAACTGAGCTGCACCTCACATGCACTTTGATGGGTGGCACTAGTTCCACAGAAGGCTTGAGGGCTGCCACTAAATAAGATTGTTTAGCTAACTAGGAGATGCATTCTTTAGTGAGCTTCCGTGAGCAAAGACAATAACCAACCTCAACTTAAATAACCAATGTGAAATACCAAATTAAACAAGCACATGCCTAGCATAAACATAAATTAAATAACTACCATATAACATGAATTGACAAGAGCTATGGCCTCTAGTTCAATTAGGATTAACCAAGACCCAAAAACAATTAACTTTAAGTAACAGTGATCCACAATATATATTTCTTTGTTGAGTTAAGTCATCTTTTTATGCATTCTGATGACCAGATAAGCCCTTCAAAGAAGCCACCAAAGTCAAAAAGTAACTCAAACCGCTATTGTAAATTCACACATTTAGTAGGAACACGTCGATGCAAGCCCCAGAAAGCATGCATGCTAAACACAGAATACAGTCATCATAAACTGAACTGCGCTTAAGTGCATGCTGCTCAGAATTTTCTACTACGATGCACCAGTACTCATACATGTTTAACATACCCATCAGTAGTAGTATGGTCAATAAATATTAATAATGTAGGACATCAAATAACTTGTAATCCCAATTGACACGTCGCATTGTATTTTATTTCTTACATTGAAGTATCTCTCAGAGTTTGCACAAAAATAGAAAGTGGTTATTTGCTCCCCATTAGTAAATGGTGAAACAACCCTAATTAGAAAATATTTGCTACAGACGGATCTAGGCGCAAAGGACATAAATGAGGTTAAGATTTAAGGAGCATCAAATAACCTAGATTTCAGCTATTTGAAGTTCTAAATATTAAAAAACAACTACTGCCATCATGATTTTAAAATTTTATTTAGCCATAGGTAAATATGTTTCATGATAATCAGTTGCCAATTCTTATATCCATTTTGCACCCAATAGCTGTCCCCAAGTTGCCACGTTTACGGATTTCCATCATTTATTTATGGATTCAATTTTTTTCATCTATGCCATTTATCCAAGAATTTGATTTCGCAGAACTACTTGCTTCTTTATATCGGTTGGGTTGATGTACATCATTTAGAAACGTAAAATCATAAACCTAGTTCTAACAAAGAACTTTTGAGAACTACTCATAAGAGAAAAGTAAAATTATGTTGTTTCACGAAATGGTTTGAATCAAACCAATTTATCTTTCGTTTCATACAACGGCTATAAAATTAGCCATGCTTTTTGGGACAGAATGTTGGGCAGTCAAGAAACAACATATCCATGGAATGAGTGTAGTTGAGATGAGGATGATGAGATTGATAAGTGGCAAAATAAGAAATGATAGAATTCGGAATGAATACATCCGATGGAACTTAGGGGTAGCTCCAATAGGTGATAAGATGATGAAAAGTGAACTTCGGTGGGTTGGCCATGTGCAGGGTCGACCTAGAATAGCACTAGTTAAGAGGGGGGGCAATTTGGTTCAAATAAAAAACTCTAAAAAGACAAGGGGAAGGTCCAAAAGGACATCGATGGAAGTAGTGAGAAGACATATGATGACTTATCGTCTGACTAAGGTTATGGCCCTTGATAGAGCAGAATGGCAGAACAAAATTTGAGTAACTGACCCCAAATAGTTGGGATAACGGTCAAATGATGATGTTGATGATAACGACAACAACGAAGATGCTGATCTTTCATAATCAAAAGTTTAGTTTTGGTGAAACTTAGTTTTGTAAACATGTCTCAAATTAATATATGCCATAAATGAGAAGGATTTATATCCAGAGAAAAATAATCAATTTCATCCTAGTACAATATTTCTTACACATGCATTCCAAATAACAGCTTACCAGATTTAAAGCATATATCAAAGTCACTTCTATCCAAGGTACATATAGACAGTATTTCCCACACATCAAAGGTGTAAATATGTTATTTGCAAAGAAATCAGAATTGCCAACATAGACATTCAACTGGAATATTCCATTATCCACTAATTCATGTCAAATATAAATTATGTTGATATGTAACAAGCTTCTGTCTTCAACCGTCTCAAAAACTCAAGAAAGCCATTGTTTGACTTAAACAAGTGTTTCACCAGATGGCTTTGAAATAGACCAATCTATCGTGCGTTCAATAAAGTTTTGTTAACGTCTCAAATAAATGTCATAAAAGAAAAGAAGAATATGCAAAGATAAATAATCATTATTCATCCTCATACAATAATTCTAACATGCATTCCAAGGACCACCTCAGATTTAAAGCATACATCAAACTGGTGTATATGATATTATTTCCAATACATCAATAGTGTAACTGCAGTAATTCCAAGGAAATCAGTATTCCCAACTGAGACATTGGAGTATTCAAATATCTAGTATTTCATGTCGAATATCAATTCCATCAATATATAACATGCTTCTGTCTCCAACCCTCTCAAAAATCAAGAAATCCATTGTTTGACTTGGATAAGCATCTCACCAAATGGCTTTGAAATAAACCTACCTATCTTTCGTAAGTTGAAGAACGTTTAGTTTTTTACATGTCTCAAATTAATATATACCATAAAGGAGGAGAATAACCATATGCCAAGACAAAATAATCATTATTTATTATCATACAATAATTCTAACATGCATTCCAAGGAATACCTTTTCAGATTTAAACCATACGTCAACCTTGCTTTCGACAATGTAAAGATAGTATTTCGTAAGAAATCAGAATTCCAAATCGAGACATTTAACTGGAGTATTCCAATATCCAGTACTTCATGTCAAACATGAATTCCATCGATATATATCATGCTTCCATCTCCAACCCTATCAAAGACTCAAGAAAGCGATTGTTTAACTTAGATAAGTGCTTGGTGGCACCAAGGTCCCAACACCAATGATCAGGTGATATAGAAGATATCCACATTAACCACAATCATAAGGGGCTAGGACCAGTGTCAAAGGGGATTTTCTTGTTCTTTTGAAAATTCTAGGGTTTCGGATATGTATCCTGTCGAGGATTCTCCTATTTCCTTAATATTAAGCTAGTTCATTTTCCTTGAGTCATAAATTCTTCTAAATTGAGTACAATGACCAAGTTTTAAGTGTCAAATCCTTTCTATTAAGAGATTGTCAGGTGAGCTAACAAGAACTAGGCAAATTCCTCAAGGATTCTTGTTGGTCAATTGATGCATAACATGCATCAATGAGCATCCTTGAATAATCATTTTCCCTTTCATTTTCAACGATGGAATCATTTGTCTTCATATTTTGCATGAATAATATTTTCAGGTTAGAACCCTGTGATTGCTTCTAAAACTGATAAAAACACAAGAACTCCAGAAAAGTGAATGTACTTGGGAGATCCCAAACCAAAACATGTACTTAGGAGATCCCAAACTAAAACATCACTAGGAGAAGCATCTAAAAGATGTTACCATCCAAAAACCCTTTTATGTGGAAACTTTTTTAAAGTAACACCAAAACCCTCCAATGAAGGTCCTAGAAGTCATTGTCATGTAGTAAATTTGGACTGTTCAAGAGAAATGTCTGGACATGAATGAATGATTTGAATCTCCCAATCATAGGAGAGACTACCTAAGGGAATTCCATGTACCCCAGTGAATGACCACATTGATAATTGGTAGATGGACTTTTCTCTGACCAAGAACATATCCAAGTCAAACCAAGGCTATATCATTTTCAGAGAGGTTAAACTGGAGAAATAGTATAACAATGGAAAATGATATTCAGCTCGATGTATCTGGTATCTGGATGGCTACATCGATTATTCCAAAGGGAGAATTTCCTCCTTGATAAATACACTCTCTGCACCTTTGATGTGTTGAAAATCAAATGTATTTTTCTATTTAAAGTATAGGACATAACTGGGTATAATGCAATGCTTCAGATTGGAGGTGGTGTCCATTTGGAAGAATCATTATATAAGGAGGGTTCTGGAATAGTACTTACTAGTTATATAAAGTTGGGACTGGAAATATTTCTTCTCATTACTCATTTCCACATGATGTAATTTGTCTCTTTTATGGCATGAGTTCGAGACATAACACAAAAAAGAGAATCGATAGACATTATTGATGGACACATGGCCGATATTCCGAACTTCGACCAGAAAATTTGTAAGCAATGTATTCTGGGAAAATAACAACCCTTAGAATATGGTGTTTCTCTGATTCGAGAAATTATTGCCTGCCCTTCATGGAGCTGATCAAAATCAGACCTTGCAATAGCTAAGCCATCTTGCTATAAACAACCATTAACTTCGGAAAACACCATAGTACTCCATAAATTCCATGGATCAAGAAATTAAATTCACAAAATAAGAATATAGTTTGGGAACCATTTTTCCCTTGGAGAGCAGGTATCGTTTCTAGATAGATTTATAGAGGAAAGTGAACTAAGGTGGTACGTTTAACAAGTCTTAAGCCAATAATGTAACTGAAGATGAAATAAAAATGACGAAAATGATGGATCAAGAAGCTTTACAACCTAGGGCTAAATGTATTTCTATAACTTAAATCTCTACTAAGGCCTATTTGGATTACAGTTAATTTATCAGGAGTGTACTAATTTGTCTAAAATCAATATGTTACACATAATATCACTCTGTTAGCAGCTTGGCAGGTAACATTTATTAATATTTGGTGAGTCGGGTGGTACCCTGACCCAAAACTCTGTATATCAAAAAACCAACCATTTTCCTGGCAATTTTCTAGTGATTTTCAGCAATTTCCAGGGAAACCCCAGAGATTTTCCCTGGATTTTTAGAGAAGCTGGAGAAAACTAGAGATTCAAATGGTAAGACCCCAAACCATCACATCCACAAAAACTAAATCAAATTAAATTAATTAGAAAAGAAACTCTCTCTCTCTCTC